CAATAAGTCACACGGTGCCATATCGAATGAATGAGGAGCTTGCGGAACCGAATTTGTTGAATTTTTGGCCAAAAATTCACGAACAAGAACATCGTCAGCAGATGTATTATCGTGGTGCAAAATCCGTGAATTTTCGCCACAAATTAGGTCATTTTCTACGAATTGCTTCAAGTAAACGACGCGAAACGCTTAAATAATATTCTTTGTTGACAGTTTGGCCAGTCAGAAGGAATTCGTGGTGCACAATACCACGACAATCGAGGAAAACAGTCGACACAACTTTGATTTTTGACTGACTTTGACGTGATCTTTTCGGTCCTGCTTCACTTTTCGAGCGCCTCGATTATTAAGCTGTTTCGGTGTCAAAAGCGTAGACTCATGTTTCACCACCTGTAATGGTGCGTTTTAATAAGAATGATTCGCCTGGAGAAAGCATTTCCTCGGCCACTCGAACACGTTGTTCTTTAAACACGTTGAAAAAATTCAACGTATTTTCAGGACGGCTCGAGAAATGACGCGCCAAAAAGATTATTTTGGCTTAAGGCTCCAAAAAGATTATTTTGGCGCCGTAAGCCAAAACAATCTTTTACAATTGCTTGATACTGGAACATGTTCAATAATGTCCCTAATTGTTAAACAACGATTATTGAGCACCAAATCTCTGACTCGAGCGATGTGTTGTTCATCAGTTGAAGTGGATGGTCCAGCCACAGAGAGGTTTATCTTCGACGCGTTCTCTGCCCTCCTCGAACATCTCGTACTACTCGAAAATCCTTGTCTTCGATAAACTATCGTCACAAAGGTTTTTTGCAACATTTTCAACATTTTGATACCAATAATTCCGTTGTGAAAACAAAATCTAATGCACGATCTTTGCTCAATTACATTCAACATTTTGGAAAATTTTTTACGCACAAAACGAACGTTGATTTGCAAACGAAAACAAATGATGACATACGGATATCGATGAAAGTCGTACCAAATCACAAAAAAATGACGACAGAGCCGTCTTGTACGCGCGCAGTTTAAATGAATCATTCCCGATACTTTTTGACTACAGTAGTGATTTCATATGATAGCACACTCAAGAGCTCGCCTTCATCTGACGTGAAATCCAGGGGGTCAAATCCACGGCCTGTTGATACAGTTGCGTGGTTGATATTACATCGATTGGTACAGAATTAGTAGATATTTAGCACAGATTACACGCCCCATCTGCCCCAATCCGAGTGCAATGATCAGTGATCGTGCTGGATGTGTCGTCATCTTGATCACGGCAAATCTCGGCGGCAAGTTTTATATCAACTCAGGCCACGTATCACTAAATGCATTAATCTCACGAACTTCACCAATTGAAGGCTCTACTGTTTCTTCAGTTTCATTGCAACACATTCTTACAAACATCTCTCACGACAACATCAATTGCTTAGAGTTTAATTAATATTCATATATTGATTAACTTCAACAAGGAGAACAAAGATGTCGTTGGTAAACATGTCATTGTTATTTCTTAGTGTTCAAAATTATGAATTTCTTAAAATTCTAATGCGTATAAAATTTTGTAGAGCCTTTTTATTGCAAAAATGCATATAAAGGGGCAACGACGTTAACTCCAATAATATTTATAAACTCTGGAGAATATTTTCTATACTTCAATTTTTCAAATTTTCGAGGACTTCCCGGGAACTATAAGCTGTAAAACCTCGAAGCCTTTTCCTGATTTTATTCCTCTTATTAACACCTACTCTATTTGTCCAATTTCCATCAGTTTCTACACCATTCGAAAAATAGAGGTTAGTATAATTACAAAAGTTTCTTATACAAACATCGACCGAAATCACGTGCTCATTGAAGACTTTTATATTAATTATTATGACGTTTGGGTATTAAATTTCTTTCAATCTCTGAAACACCTTTAAGACTCACACATATGTCAACATTTTCTTTAATCTAATGCAATGTTCCAAAGAATAATCTGTTTTCCGATTTTTTTTTTATAAACAATATTCAAACACTACATATACTAGTTTTATAGTATTTAAAATTTTTCTAATTAAAAATAATTTATTCTCGAATGTTGAACAATTACACAATACACAGCAAATGTTAGGAATCGCGATCGTATAATTTGCTACCAAAATCAATAACATAGTCAAGATACTTGAATGTAGAAAGCAAATTCCACAAATGGAATGCATTATGACCAGAGAAACAAATGATTTGTGCATTTATTTGTAAATATTTATAAATTTATAATAATAAAAAGAAGTTTTGTATAACATATATACAGTAATTATATTTTGTGATATTTGGTAAATTATTTATTCAAATTAATATTACGAAGATAAATTGTTTGACTTAAATACAGACACACACNATAAACAAATGATTTGTGCATTTATTTGTCAATATTTATGTATTTATAGGCCTAATAATAAAATTAAGTTTTGCATAATATATATAAATTATATTTTGTGATATTCGGTAAATTATTTATTCAAATTAAAATTACGAAGATAAATTGTTTGACTTTAATAATTAAGCCGAAAAAAATTATAGATTTATAAATTCCCACTGACGTCGTTTCGTTTGTCTGCGGTCTGTCCGTCCACTTTCCATAATCTATCGAACGGAGTTAGACAGATGAAAGACGAGACCGGACAAGGATACAATAAGTGCAGGAGGCCTTAGATAAGAACTTCCGATGCAAACCGGAAGTCAAGTTATTTCAATTCAAAAATGTTCTTTCTGAAAGATGACCCACACGACTCCATTGCTATAGGAAAGTACGATGTATGAAGTGGAGAGGTTATATTTTAAACTATAAAAATATAAAAAAAAGTTAATCAGATTAATGTAGACAGTGAGGTTTAGATTAGGAAATTATGGAAACAGTTGAGAAAATACAAGCACTAAAATAATTGGTACAAGAAGAGATAAAAATCAATTCAAACAATACAAATATGTAAAATCTCAACTTCTTGTATGGAACTCGCCCAATCAAAATCCTAATTCTGATGAAGATAACGATGGTGATAAATGTAAATCCAGTAAGGCAACGATCATCTGAGAAGCAGAACGACTTTGATATATTTAAGGAATCTCATTAGAAGAAAGCATGAAAAGTGCTAAGAAATAATATTGCGAGTTAAATAAGCCATACATTATGAGAAACATGTTTTTCCCTTCTTTCCTTGATTTCTTTCTGTATATTGCTTATTAATGTACTAAAGTTTACATTTTCTATTAAGAATACACACGAATTTTACAAGAATAAAACTTATATCCACTCTTCTTGAATTAGCTAATATGAACTAATCGGACGAGGACCAGGTTACAACTTTTATCTTTAACATCATTTTGAGACATTCTACTCTTTTACAAAATAATTACAAGATTTTTCATATAATTTACAATTACGAAACATAACGAAAAATTCAAATATACGAATATTAAGAAACATTGCCGTTATTTGTGGTTGTGTGCATTCTGCGATTTAAGACATCCATTGTAATAACATAAATAAACAGTTGCAATACTAAAAGAAATCTCTTTTAGCAATTTAATTGTTTGTCTACAAACAGAATGCCATACCACGTCCTTCATTCTTTAGTGATTTGAATCGTAATAAATTATTTTCAAAGCGGAAATTCCTTTCATTTCTTAAATCTAACATTCCATTGACGATTTATTCTGAAAACTTCAAAAATTATAAATATTTCCAAGATTTGTCAAACGATTGTTTACATATTTACATAAATGCTCGTTGAAAAAGAAGATTCAATTTTGGATTATACCAATACATTCTTAAATATATTTTTGAGCAGAATTGTTGACGATTTAGTAATCGAGACTCGCATACTTAAACTATTAAGCGTTTAAAAGCACAACAATATATGAATTGGTCTTATCAAGCATCAAGTTTCTAAAAGTTCTAAATTTCATCGCATAGTAACTTCATTTTATTACTTATTTCGAGTTGAAATAAATATGGAACAAGAAATTGAACTGTGTTTGAGATGTTATCTTCAACCGTTGCTATCCATGGCCTTAGTGTTCGGTGTGCATATATATTCGTAGAATGTACTTGCCAATGTTCGACTAGAAGCAATTCTCTGACCAAGTTCTTGAAAGCCTTATATTTTAATTTGGTGGAATACATTTCATTTCTTAATTTATTTCTATTCCTTCTTTTCAACATCCCAGGATTGGACGAATATGTTCTTTGTTTTGAAGCATGGAAAATAATTGGAGAAGACACATCTATCCCTAAATTAGGGATAACTATTTTTATACTGATTTATACATTATCGAATAGTGTCTTGAAGAGAAAAAAAATGAATACAACAATTAAATTAAGAAATATTACAAATTCGGATAAAGAACGTTTCAATAATCAATTAAACTTTATTTCCAAGATTTCCTTTCTTGAAATTTGTTGTTTCATCCCAGCGCTAGAAATTGTAGTTACGCTTCTTTTTTATCTGACATTCAAAGCGGGATATCAATCATGTAATGAAGCAATTTTCTGCAATGTAGCATTGGGAATTTCTGTCATGTATCTCATGGGAGAACAATTTATTATTTGGAATGTTTTTCTTCTTGTCGGTTTGATACTTAAAATTGGATTTCTGAGTTTGTCGAAAGAACTTTTATTAATTAATAAGAAAAGTAGAAACTTATATTATCAAATAGAATCGATAATTCTTTGTCACGATCAATTGTGGCTGTTTATTAATCACATGAACAACATCTACGGTTTTATAATATCTGTCGGATATTTTATTTTAATGCTGATTACGTGTTTATTCATTTATAGTTTATTATTTATAAAGATGCACCCCGTCGTAACAATAATATTTATCTTTAACGCATCATTTTCAATTGTAGTATGCCTTATATTCGCCTTTTCACTGTCGACGTTTACTGCCACGGTGAGATTTTTCTCATTAATTATATAATTGTGGGTCTTGTAATAAATGTAAATTTCTTGTTTCAGATGCAGAATGGCTTTCAAGACATTCGAATATTCGCAGATTGTAATTTGGAGCTTGAGCAGAAGCTGAAAGTAAGTATTTGTAAAGTTCGTGTACGATGATAAAACCTTTCACTTAAAAGATTTAAATATTACGAGTATTTACTATTGGTCAGACAATGAAAATGACTAATATACTTGATTCAGACATTTTTTGGAATTGGTTATAATACATAAAATGCCACCGTACATGATAATTAACAGAAGTAACATCTTATTAATACAGTAGATACGATATGTCCGAAAATTATGAAGGGATTATAGTTGAATAAACAATAAAGTTACCTTCCTTATTAGTTACTTTAAAAATATCACACAATAACTTGAATATTGTATCCTGACAACTAATACTGCAAGCCATCTGGCACCATTTAAATTGAAATTATTCTTTAAACAAGTTTGCATGTATGGCCAAGGATATTATTTTTTTGACCAATTCAATGTGACAGGTTCAAGAAGAAAACTCTCCAGATAATTCTAACCGTTAGGTTAGCGTTGTCTGGAGAGTTTTCTTCTTATACAATAGTCATTTAGAAGTTATTAAAATCCGTGAAAGAATTGACTTACTTAGAGGAATTAGTGACGTGATGACGAAGATCTCAATCTACGTCATCACGTTTCCTAAAAATTTACTTAATAATTGATCATTTTGTATTTCAGATAATTTTGATGTTTCTATTAATTTTTGGGCTATTTTATTACTTTTTAATATAGAATTGTCGATGATAGGCACAGATCTGCTCAAATACTTGGGAATTTGTCGATTCCACTTTCTTTCCGATTTCAAAAATAATTATTTGTCTGTTACAAAAAACAAATTCCCTGTATATAAAATAGCAGATTTATACTTAAAATAATACACAAGAAAATACACGAATGAATTGTTCATTAGTGTATTTGCGTCTCGATTAGTAATTTGTTTATTAGAACAGAAATTATAATTATTGCCTTTATTCTTTTGAAACAATATCATTAAATGTCGAGAAGTGATTTTTTTAATTACAGGAACTTATTTTATTGAATATAAATTTTCTCATTTCTTTTTATACAACTTTTGAAATTCAAACGTAAATTTATTTCATTGATCAAATACAGAATTCATGAAATCACTTCACTTAAAACGATTTCTTTTATAATTAAAACACGCGCCTTGTAATTATCATAAAATGCATATTATTGTTTAAATTGTTAAATTCAGTTTTGACAGTAAAACGTTGACAGATTAGACAATTCATGCCAATGATTTTCTTGAGCAGATTTTGAATTTTATGAAGAGATTCGGAAAAGCTTCTTTATCGATTTCAATGGAAGACTTCTTCAACATTACAAAGAAATTTCCCATCAAGGTAAAGTTTTTAAACGTTACAGATAAGTAATTTAACGCTCCGTGGTTGAGAGACATTAAAATTTTTTAAACCGCGATTGCTCATTTTCCCGTCTTTCTGGTCTCCCTGAGATCAATTGGAAATATGACTAATCACCGGTAGTTGGTGGCTGGCTCGACCAATCAACAAAATAGTTATGTAAAGTGTTCCGGGACAATTCCCATTTATAAATAGGGCTAATTTCATATCCAATAGCCTTTTGCACATCTCTCGTGCGTTGAATCACCTTATAGCATCAAAATAATCCGTTCCCCTCGCAATATAATAAAGCATCGCTTATCGTTTTTCTTCCCCTCCCTTATATAAAGTGTGTATTTCATTTGTCGATATTTGTATCTTCGGTGATAAATTAAAAATTTTTCTTATAAGTGAAAAATCCAGCAAAGAGCTTCGTAACTTCCCTGGCTGTTTATATATTATATTTAGAATGTAATTTCTATACAGGATGATCGAAAAGTAATTGACGTATACGGACGGTAATAAAACATAGTTTATAATCTGCTCTTTAAATACAGCAAAATCAAATCGTGTTATTACAACATATGTTCGAAATTGCCTCTTCGTGCACGAATGCAGGCGCGAGCTGTTTTTACAATGTCTGATGACACCCGATGAACCACCTGAATACTAAGGTTGACAAGAGCCGTTATAATATTCCTCTTTAGTTCATTTATTGTATATGAACTATTTTTATACACGGCTTCTTTGAGATAACACCGAAGAAAACATTTGAAGGTGTGACTAATTTGGCCATCGTGAGGACCAACAATTTTTTAGAAATAAGATGGTGGCCAGAAAATTCTGGAAGAAAGTTCAGAATCCAAATATGTCCGATGAAACTCGTCTGCAATACGTGCATAACAGCGACTGGCAAAATAATGCCCAACAATGAAAATTTTTTGTTTCCGAAGGAAAGAACAATCTGGTTACTTCAGTAAGCACAGCTGTACTGTAGCCAATTTTTTTGATTGTTACACATAAGTCAAAGTTTCTATTAATTAATAGTCAACATCACCACTTCTCCAAGACCAAGTTTTCTCTGTGTGAAGAGATGTTACTGTGTGTGGGGGCATTATTTTATTCAACCTCCTTAGAAGCTTAATGACTTCTGTGTCTTTTGTCGAAAATGTCTGATTTCGCAGGGAAGTTTGTGTATTAGAAGGATTGATGCCTTTAATTTTTTTTGCTGGTTAAAAATCGAGGACATGAAAAAATAATAGGGTAGTGTGGTGTGTAGTATCTCAAGGGAAGACGGACTTAATAAAGATTTTAATCGTTATTAGCATTTACAATATATTATGAAACCTCCTCACTACCCTGAAAATTAAGTCTTTTGCCATTTTATAATTTATCACCACAGATACCGCACGTACATTTTTTTTTATGGGAAAGTTAGGCAACTCACTGCTTGATTTGTCTGTTAGCCTTAACTTCTTAGCGAAAGACCTTCAACAGATTTTCCTGTTTACGAAAGTATCAAACTGGTATGCAACTGTATGGGAATTTATAACATGTTTATGTGCCGTACAGTAAGAAAATCTTTTATAGATATCTTATTGAAATATTCATTTTTGATTAGAAATAAAATTTGCTCAAATATATTTAATCTTTTAGATTTTGTAGCCCATATTCTATGAAACATTAGCCATTGTTTTATTAGAATATTTAAACCTTTTTTTCCGTTTTGTTTTTGTGTGAATCACACAGATTACTATTTCTACATCATGCAGAAGAAAATAAAAAATTCAGTTTCTAGATAATAATACAAGCAAATATTTTAAATTTTCAACAATACATAAGGTATAAAATATTTCATAAATTTATTTATCAAATTATAATTTTGTTTCGGCCCTTCTCTTTGAAAGTTTTCAATAACGAATTATACATCAAATTTTTTCAAAAAAAGTTTACTGGTGACGACCAATTTCCATTTCAAATGTAATAATTGAAGAAGAGAAAAAAGAGCTTATTTATTACATTTACAGTATTAATTAAGAAAAGCGAAATTACCGTGGTACAATATTTGTATTTGTTTCTTTACAGATGGCCAATTCTCTGTACTCCATATTCTCCAGTCTGTGGAAATTGAGAAACATCCAGCAAAAAAACGAAAGATGCACAGAAATATCACTTTTTAATGCAATAACACACAATTAAGAAATAAAGTAAGAACTACAAACGATGAAATTATAAAAATTCTGTCGGAAGTTAAAAGAGAAAGGAAACTTAATTGTACAAAAGAACTTGAACTATATTAAAATAATAAAGTCGTCTGTATTTTTCTACTTGTGTTTCGTTTTATTCATCGTGTACCTTTACTCTTAAAGACAGAGAAAGATTTAGTTTCTTCAATCTTTATAAAAATTTTTAGTTGAATTTCTTCATGGATCATTTATAATGCAGTTAATTGATTAATTTTATTAAAAAAGGTTGGTTGGTTGGTTGGTTGGTTCAAGTTTTTTGGCGCAAGGGCCACACAGACCATGCTGCACCATGGCAAAAGGTAAAATAAGACAAAACTAAATATATATATAACATAAAATATAAATACAACACAAAACCATAAATAAGTGAAAATAAACAAAACAACAAAATAAATATAAGTATATAATAAAATAAATAATTAATTAAATCTCTTTATAAATATTTATAACTTTCAAAAAAGTTCAGTAGCTTATAAAGATTTGGCTTCTGGCCCAAAATCTCTCTCAAACTTGCATTTCCGAAATGCTGTCTACGGCTTTGATCAAAAGTAACACAGTTGCAAAGTATGTGTTTAACACTTATAGGACAGTTGCAATACTGACATACAGGTTGATCATCACCCTTCAAAAGGTATTGATGAGTCAGTCGAGTGTGTCCAATTCTCAAACGAGAAAGGACAACCTCAGATCTCCTATCATACTGCCTATTATGTGTCCAATTTTCTACCAAAGGTTTGATCTCGTATAGTTTATTGTGGAATTGTGCGTTCCACATAATTTGCCATCTCTCTGCTATTCGTTTTTTTTTAAAAAAAAAAACTATGTAGGGTCATTTTGACTCGCACCATCTCAGTTGAAGTTAAAACGTTAAAATTCTTCCTTTCCTTTGCCCACTTTCACACGGGTTAGAATACAGTATTTTAACAGTGGGTGATCGGTTTATTGTATTTTAAGTTGCGCTTTGCCCGTACAAAAACTCCATAGATGGTCACACCTCCATATAGAGTGACTATTCAAATTCGGGTTGTCAATTAGCACCCTGCCACTTTTTAATTTACGACTGCATGGTTTATGTAGAAATATTAAAGGTTTGAAAAATTTTTCAAATAATTTCAACGGAAAAATCGTTTCTATTAAGAGATATTTAAAATCTGAGTGTTGTGTTTATTCTTTAACACTTCCATTGTTAACACTTCCATTCTTAACGCTTTCATTGTTAACAACCTCTCCTCCGCGGGGGAAATTTCGAAAAATCCCTTCTTAGTGTACGTTCTCATGATGTACCCTAACTGTGTACCAAATTTTAACCTTCAACTCCTAGCCGTTTGGGCTCTGCGCTTATTATTATTATTATTATTATTATCAACCTATCTCAATTATATATATATAGATTTGTTATTTCTACTGCTATAAACTTTTTCAAAACAATATTAATTTTAAAATTAAAGAAATAAATACTTAAATATTTAAAATAAAAATGAGAAAAAATAGCAAAAGAAAAAAATATCATGATCTTATTTAATTGTTTAGCATAATTAAGAAATTTAAATTAATATACAGTATACCTCGTATATATGTTTTTAAATGCTTCGAAAGTACAGCCAATTTTGGCCGGATGGGCCAAAGAGCGTTCAAGATGACAGCCTACCGCTCTAGACAACTCGGGATCGAATCATCAGAAATTTTTCGGGGGGGTGATCCGACGGAATATGTCGGTCCCCGTACCTAACCACCCCGTCGCCCCATTGTGAACATGGCCGATTTCATAATGGGCTTGCTAAAAGAGGCCCTCTTAGTGCCCACAGGTCGGAAAGAGTTTTTAAAAAGTCAATTTCTTTGAAACCATTCGTATTTTTTGATAAATTAAAACAAAAATTATTTTTACTTTGCATATTTATTATTATCGAGCATTAATTGGAAGCAATTAATTTCGTTAAACTTTAATAATATCGTTCATTTTTAATATTTTCATATTTTATTTTAAACGCAGGCTTCAAATCGTCAAACGACACGTTCAATAATATATTTTTTTACCTTTTATGTTACCCGGTTTACTATTCGAGAAATCGTACCTCGTGACATAAAACTACCAATGAATGCTGGCGTTTTTGACGGTCTACGTAGCAGAATTGAGCGAATAATAGCGCAGTCTTCTGTTAAAGATTTCATCCACCATCTTTAATCGATTTTGAATAGAATAGACAGACGAAAATGGATTTATATATATTTTTAATAGCAGTTTTAGGTTGTTTAGTAAACGATGTAAATAGCTTAATGTTTCATCTTCAACCTAATTCTAGGAGATGCTTGAAAGAAGAGATTCACAAAGGAGTTTTAGTTACAGGCGAATACAGTTTAAGCGATGCGCCTGGACAGAAAACCGATTTGATTGTAAGTTATTTGCTTAAATATTTAATCTAAATTGAATTCAAAGTCTGCAACTAGATCTAAATACAAGAAAATTATGCATTTAAAATTTATTTATTGCTGATATTCTGTCAATCAAAAACCTGAAAAAGATGATCTGTGATTAGTGACCAGATGCTTGGTTTATTATGAAGCTGTTCCGTGTTCTTAGAACACGTGGAAGTCTGTGACCCAGTTTTAAAAAAATGATGTTTCATATTATACGGCATATATTAAAAAAAATATATTTATAAATGTGTTTTAAAGAAGAAAATAAATTAATAGAAGCAGTTCTAAGCTGAGGCAAACTACAAAAATTCTGAAGTGTTTTTATATTTATTTTTTAGACTTTTTTAAAGTATAACATATGTAATATCTTGTTAAGGCATCAGTCTATTGATCTGGCAAACCTGGATGGCCGAAAAAACCTTGGGAAATTTTTGCGGGTGCTCTGTCCTGGGTATGTTGGACCTCACTTCTGGTCTGATCGTCCCCGTGTGGGTCCGGCCAAACTTGTGTTATTTATCAAATTTTATTGATCGTCAAGTTTGTTGGTTTAATTAAAAAATGATTTATGTGTAAGGTATATTGGATGTTTCACTTGAAACTGTGAAATATCTCAAGAAATATGAAAGGTATGAAAAAAACATTTGAAACAAACCCTTGGTATTTTGGAGAGGGCAGTTCAACCCTACAAAATTTAGTCTCCCCTCGCCACCACCTGGAGGTGGGGGGGCAACTTTATAAATTCAAATGGGAACGGAACCCCAATCTTTCATAGAAGATTTGGATTTTACATTCAAAATTATATAGGGTTTATCTGAATCATTTTTTTCAAATCATGGCATATAGTGTTGAAATTAGTAAAAATTAGTTTTTTTTTTCTTTTTAAGGGAAACTCCTATGTTTTATTGTATAATGATTTCAGACTGCAAGAAGAGTAACTCTGATGGCTGAATATGCTTTTTGAATCATAGATGGCATTACAATTGGCTACTTTGAATGCGAGAGGCAATGGTCTCTTTCCTTCAACATAGAATCATGCTGTGAAATGTGGTGGTTGTCAAAAAATGTTCCCATAACTTTTGCTGATTACAGTGCCATCTACCACAATTTGAGAAAATGTTTCAGATAATTTTTGACATAGAATCCAAATCTGCTATGAAAAATGGAGGTTTCCCATTTGAATTTATAGTTGCCCCTGCCCCCACCTCCAGGAGACAGTGAGGGAGACTAAATTTTGCAGTGTTGAACTGCCCATCTAAAATATTGGGGGTTTGTTCCAAACATTTTTTTCATATGATGTGTATTTCTTGAGATTTCTCTTGAGATTAACTTGAAACACTCAGTGTAAATAAATATCTGTTTTATATACTGTATTTTCAAAAATCTTATGGATAATGTATGTAAAAACAATAAGTCAAACATTTAAATTATAAATCATTTAACTGTCTATAGAATATTTAATTTTTTAATAGATAAATATAGGCCGAAACACTTAAGTGGTGATTTCAAACATTGTTAATTTCTATCCATATTACTGTATTATATAATATACAATATATTATATAATACAGTATATAATATATTGCTGTATATTATTTACAGTACATGCAAACAGTTCTTGTATTTCATTTTTAGTGCATAAAGTAATAGATGAAATTACAAAAAGAATATTGTGAATCAAACATGATGTATATAATAATTAAAGATTAAGTATGTTCATTAATAATGAAAAATAATCTGTAATTTTGTTTGCAGAGATTAAATTGAAACAGGCAGACAACAAAAGAGAGCAGTTTTGTTGAAAGAAAGAATATTTCTAAAAAATTTAGACAGTAGTAAATATAATTTCATAAATGAATATTATATTGGAGTTTTATGTTGGATTCATGTTTACTTTACCATATTGACTTATAAAATGTAATTCAGATAATTTTTATGTTTTAAGAGATGATGTCACTATAGTAATTTAGCCAAATTATTTAACACATTAAGGGTGAATTAAATAATTCAGTTCTGTTTTAAAAGATTGGAAAAATACATTGATTGGTGTTTCCATCTAAGTTAAAAACATTATTTTATAACATTTATTCAAAGGAAAGTTATCACAAAAGAAAACATTATTTTATAACATTTATTCAAAGGAAAGTTATCACAAAAGGATTATAAATTGCATATTCTTCCAAGGATATTTATTCATTAATGCATTTTTGTTTTATATAATCAATAGTTTTTTTATAGTTTAAAGAGATGTTATTTACACAAAACCAATGTTAACTATTTAGAGTGACAGAAAACAAAATTCTTATGTTCTTATTTATTCATTTAAGATGTTTCAAGCCTACAGAAGTCCTTATTTTTTTTTTTTAAATTGCTTAGAAATATCTTTCATGAATGAATATGAATGTCTTCATTACAGACTAACACAATAGTTTCCAACATTTTTCGGGTGGCGACCCCTTTTTATAAAAACCAAGTGACCCACACCCCCGATACAATTGAAAAAGGTATTTTTAATAAGGTAATTAAAAAAACAACAAAATTAGCTTTTTAGTATAATTTTATTTTAAATTATGTTTAATAATTAATTTAATGTGATGGTTGAAATTGCATGTTATTAACCAGCCTGAAAATTTGCAGGTGAGTTTTTGTTAATGGCAACCTCATGCCATTTTCAACATTTAATTTATTCCTCTCAAACTCTCAACACATGTTTCAACCAACTGTGACAGAATAGTGTACCTAGATTACGCTTATTTTAATTTTTAAAAAATATATGAAATTATTCAAACTTCAAGACACCATTAAGAATAAAAATTGCATTATAGTGAATATTTTGTTTTAGTTTACTGTAATAAGTTGGTGACCCCACAGAAAACCCGTCTCGACCCCCTTCTGGGTCGCGACCCATAGGTTGGGAACCCGTGAATTAACAGCTCCATTCTCATTGAAATTAGGCAAAAAAACAAAAAACAAAGTACTTAATATATTTTAGAAGCCAAGATGAAAATATTTTGATCAAGATTAACATTTTTGGAATTTAAAATTCCACTAGAATCAAATTTTTGTAAATATAAAATGTTAACAAAATTGAACATTAAAGCTGTTCAATTTTTTTGAAGCTTTTAATTTTCAATTTTGATCAGATTTTATATCTAAGAAGATATGTTGTAATGCTGAATTCAAAAAATATTTATCCTGATCAAAATATTTCCATTTTGGCTTTTAAAAAGTTCTGAGTGGTTTGTTTGTTTCATATATGAATATAGTTGCATAGAAAATATTACATAAATATATTACTTCTGTAAAATTCAGCATATTAATTAATGAAATATAATAATAGGTTAATAAATTGTTAGTTACTGGTAGAAATTATTGAAGATTTTATCCCTATTGTTAGAGAATATTTTCAAATATTTTTTATTCAGTTTTTAAAAGGATATTAGTATAGTTATTAAATAATAAAATTTGTAATAAAATTAGCTCAAAAACTATACTGTGTTGTGATTAAAATAGAAAAATGCAAAATAGCTATTTTTGATTTTTCTATTTTAATCACTATTTGCACTTTAATTATATTAAATGTTTTTGAATCTTTTTACAGAGCAAAATTTTCATTATAGGTTTACTTAAATTAAAAAATTCAAAGATTTAATTTGAATATAGCTGATTTCAAATTGTTTCAGTTCTGATCTGCAAGTCAGTTATTAATATAAGACAAACTTTTTTAAACATTAAACAAATAAATTATATATATTGGGTCCATATATTTAAATTAAATATAATTGGCCATTAGATAGGATACATATAAAATTACTTTTCATAATTAAATCCAGGTAATGGAATCTGAGTATTTATGTTTTATTTACNCCAGCAGTGTTTCCAGCAATGGCAGGAACGCTGGGAGAAGTGTATACATTACCAAGGAGACTACTTTGAAGGGGATTAGGGTTTGTACCTCAAAGTCAATAAATTTATTTTTGCCGACCAAAGGTCCGATACTTTTTAAACAGACCTTGTATATCAAATTATTAACCTTAGATTTAGTTTTTGTTAATCTTATAGTTAATGATTATTAAATAATTATTCTTATCTCATATCCATTAATTTTCTAAAGGCTTTTTTCATGGCAGATTAAAATAGTTTGTTATAAATTATATAACTTATAAATTTATTGAACTTTTTTAATTTAATAATTGTTTTGCATGAACTACTGTATATTGTTTTACTTTTACTTTAATCTCATAAAATTTAAAAATTAAATTTGTCTAATTTGTTTGTTAGGTCACAGACACAAAGGGCCATACTTTGGTTTCAAGAGATAACATAGAAAAGGGAAAATTTGCTTTCACTACTGATGATTATGATGTATTTGAAATTTGCTTTATTTCAAAAATGCCTGCTGGTAAGTTTTTATGTTTATTATTTCAAATTCAATTTATTACGTCATTACAACTTTCATTTGTAATATTTTCATCCCCTTTAATGTGAATGAAGAGGTTTTAAGTGGAAATTTTCTTGTACATACTATGTCTACATATAGCAAAATGCAATGCTCTCTCTGGGCCCTTTTGGCTGGATGTTCCTCCCTAATAGTTAAATGTGGTGAATTGACATGTCAAAATAATGATTCTTATAAGTTGTAAACTGAAAAAAAATAGTGCAGAAACAAAAAATCAGAAATAACTTGATCTGTAACATAAAGAATACCCAGAAAATCAAATTTAAAAATATTTTGAATTCTATTATTGGAAACAGAAGGAGAGAGTTGATAGAAAATAAGGACAGTTATCTATAGATCAAAATGACAGACATAAAATGAAATGCTGATTGCTTACAAGGAAATGTGAACATTTTGCTATATTAGAAACATTTTGACATTGATCAATGTGAATCTTTTCAAAACTTAAATAAACAGTTTGGAATTATAAATCATCACGCATAAAAAAAAGTATAAGATGATATATAATTGACAAATACATTGTCTTTGACTTGCAACCACCCACATTTACAATGATCAAAATTAGTGCAATTAAAAAAATTTTATCAAGTGTAAACAATTGATTGCATTTGAAGAAATTATTAAATGTTAAATGTAATACTTTAATGGATAATAAACACACTATACATAACCAAAATAAATAACTGGTATATTCATGTTTCCATTATTTATCACTTTAAAAACTGACAACAGAACTAACTTTCTACAGAGCTGCTTGATCTGGATAATCATTCTAAATTTAATTTTATAATAAAGTTAAAGAGAGTTAATAATAAATAAAATAAATAAAAATTATGATAAAAATAATTTCATATGACGATTATAATACTCCCTCAGTATGATTTTTGGTTTCTTTGAAAGTGGTTGGCTGCCTGCACTCCTGTGAATCTTTGTTAATAAAAATACAGTAGAGCATCGATTATCCGAATACCAATCAACCAAAACATCGGTTAACCGAAAGCGTTCCTGTTGGAAAATTCAAATTTCCTCTAGTGCTGTGGCACTGCAATATTTGGCTGTCTTGGGCTACTCAAATATTATTTTTCTTGGTATGTGTGTTTTAGCTGGCAGCATTGGCATCACCATGAGAGGGTACTTAAGGATGCGCCACTATTTGAACAAGGCTTTTTTCCCCCCATTGTGAGTGGTGAGTTTTTGTTTTTTGTGTTTTCTCAGGACTGTGTGAAGTGCTGAATCAGAACTGAACTTCTGATTAACTTCTGAAATATAATTTTTTTTTGTTTTTATATTTTTTAATATATTTATTTTGTTTTTAACGATACAATAGCCACAACTATTATTTTTTAAAAATTTTTGTTAGGCTTAACATCAACAAAAATCCAACATGAAGCAACATGCAATGGAAAAAATTTCATCATGGGATAGGTTAATATATTTTTTTGTACATAATTAGTTATTCGAAAAATCAGTTATCTGAACAACCCCAGTCCTGAATTGCTTCAGATAATCAATGCTCTACTGCACTAATTAATTAAAACATTAAATTAATGCCAAAATCTCAAAAAGAAAATTGAATATAGCAGATCATCACTTAACATTTGAGGAAAGATGCAAGTATACTTTTATTGAGGAAAGATGCAAGTTTTATATACTTGCATCTTATTAATATTTCTATACAATTTTTTTATTGAAGTTTCTTTATAAACAGTAAAATTGATTTTGAAAGATGGAAAATAAATCCTGGAGGTTGCAAACATGATCCAACATCAATAAGAATAATCAAATTCTTTTCTTGAAATCTGATTAATATAATTTTCATTCATTACACTCAGCTTTTTATTTTTAATAAAATGAACTTAAATCCATTTTAACAACATGTAAGATAGCATTTAATGTTGAAATAAACAAATGAGCCCTATTTGCATTTGCCATTTTAAATTTATACAGCAACCTCTATAATTTGTTGAAATTGCTAATTGTTTGTTTTTGAACTTCATGGTGTAGGAAATGCTTCTCAATGTTTGCTTAGCAAGCATTTACTTTTTATTACTCATTTTAACCCATTACTAATGATGAGGATTAATTGTTGTTATAACAGTGTAGGAATTGAATTATATAAAAATTTAAACATAAATGTAATTGATTTATATAATAGCTAGAATAAAACTTTTTAAACCGAATTCAATTTAAATTTATAAAAACAATAATCTAAAATATTTTGTTTTCTTTACAAATATAGGTCAGAGAGGAATGGTTCGTGAAGCAACACTTGTGATAAAGCATGGTGCTGAAGCAAAGAACTATGAGAATGTAATTATTTTTGAAATGTTTAATATATTGACTTTATTACTATTTCTATACAAGTTTTTATTTTCAAAGTTAGATACTGTAGTCAATATAGAATGCTAAATTTGCATGTATCATATGCAATGTTTTATAATATGCTTATGTTCAGTAGCAGTATTACCCAAACTTTTCAATTAGTGGGCTAAATTGCACATAAGGACTTAAGGACTAGCATTACACCATCCAGTTTTGGCTAAGCATGCAAATTCAATGAAATAATGATGACTATCTCAAAAATTTCATTGGCTGATTGTGCAGTGAATGTGTGAAGATGTATTCACAATCAATGTTTAAGTGGTCATCTGGAATTTTATATATTCTTGTGACTTAATGCCGTTGTTATATTGTAACTGGTAAATAGTCAGGTTGGATAAGTTTAAAATGATCTTCTACCAGTACTTTTGCAGGGTTGCATGCTTATCAGGGTACTTTTTCTTATTCTTTTCATCCTGTGGGCACTAAGAGGGCCTTTTAATCATACCCATCATGAGTTTAGCCAACCTTATAATGAAGACAGCTGGATGGTGAGGGACAAGGCCTGACATATCTGAGATATCAAAAAATTCCTGGAGTTTTTGATACCTGGATTAAATCCAACATCCCCACAGAAGTAGGCCATAACTGCCTTATTCATTTGGTCATTTTTGTTAAGGTACTGTACTTTTATAAGTTATTACCTTGAACTTTTACAGAACTAGATGAATATTCCATGCCTGTGCTATTATGCCTTTTACATGTAATAAATTGATTTTTGGATAAGATGGGGGAGACAAATTATATTTGGCAATTTTTTTAATCCATTCTAGTTTTTCAAAGGCCTTTTATGCTTGAATGATGTGTAAGTTCTTCTAATGAACATTCTAAATGCTGAGAATTTGTAAGAAATCAATTTTTGGAAAAGAATATGTATAAAGGATGGTTTTAATGTCAATTGGTGGTTTATGTGCATGTGTGTATGTATGTATACTAATTTTTTTCTTCCATATTTCATATGCATATGAAATATGCATATATGCTTTCATATGCAGTTTATTAAAAAAAATTTATATATAAAAATAACTTAGAGGCAAAATAATTAGACTGAAATTTATTAAATTAATCTGATTTAGTTATTTTTAAAATATTTATTCTTCAGTGTTAAAAAATTTGTCATAGAAATTAACTCTAGTAAAAGTTTTTACTGGAGTAAATTGTATCATTTATATAAATTTTAGAAATCACTTTTAGTTTTTTTCATTTAATAAAATATGCTAATTTTACAATTAATGTGTTTTAATCTTTATAATATTTTAAGCTTGCTGAAGTAGGCAAACTCAAGCCACTAGAAGTAGAATTACAGAGGTTAGAAGATTTATCTGAATATATTGTCAAAGATTTTGGTTACATGCGACAACGAGAAGAAGAAATGAGAGATACCAATGGTACAGTCTTTATTTAAAATTATAACTTCTACATTTTTACTAAATTATAAAAATATCTGAATGATTGATAAGTAAAAAAAAATGTTAAAAAATAACAACCAAAATATAAATCTAATTGTATAAAACACATTTATTCAAAGGAACAAATATGGAGCCAGATAGAAAGAAATGCTTTTTGTTTAGGTCAAATACACTTATTTACAAAACATATATCCATGCAAACCAACCAAGTGCAAAAGTATAGTTAGAACCTAACTTACACTATGTCTTAGTACTCTTTGGCCTATTTAGATACTTGTCTATAATTTAGAATATCTATGTACATACCTGATAATAAATGAAATAAATGTGCACTTAATTTTGAGATATGATTCCCATATGGTCATTTACAAAAGTAAAATTGATGTATATATCAGAATTTTGTTCTAATCTGAAACAATATCAAACTCTTTGGAATATAACAACTTGCAGGTTTTGTTATATTCAAAGTAAAAACTTTCTAAAAAATTTTTTATTCCGACATTAATTTTATCATTGATTTTTTTTTCAAGAAAAGATTTTTGTGTTTTAAAACTCTCATGAAGTCTTCCTTACATTTAGGTCTCATAATAACAATGCAAGTTTTTTATTTCTAAAAAAAATACTTGAACTGAATTAACAAAATTTGACTATTTCCTTTGTGTTAAAGTGAAAAAAACATTATATTATTCTCAATACTTCAAAATATAAAAAAGTATCTAAAAACAGAATCTTGTCTGAATATATAGAAGAATGTATTGAATATATAAGATTCTGGAATATGCATTCTTTTTACCTCTATGTCCTTACTGTTATCAATTTCTGTTTGTATCCTTGTCTACTTGGACCTTGTTTATTAATAGGACTTATTACACTGGTATAGTTTCTGAATAGCAAATAGAGGAGATCTCAGTTCAAATAGTGAAAACAAAATACAGGTTGACATTTAAAAATCCGATAACCTCTGGACCTGAGGAGTGCCAGATTTTTTTATTGTTATACAAGGGTTGTTCAAGGTTAAATGAGACTTTTGGGCCTATAATTTCGAAAAGTAACTGTAGCACAATAAAACCTGAAGAGGGAGTAGCTTTATTCATCCCAAGATTTCGGTAGCAAGCATGATGTATTTTGTGCATAGCAGTTTTAGTGATCATGGTGGAAGGTAATGTGTCTGCAATGGTGGAACAGCAGTGCATAATGAAATTTTCATGAAGGAAAAAGTGAAACCTGCTGAAATTTTGAGAATATTGAGTACACAGTATTGGGATCAAACGCTATTGCAGGCAAGAGTGTACAAATGGTGTCAACAATTTGGTGAAGGATGAGAGCTGGTGACAAATGAAGCACATGGACATATTCATCCAACTGCAGTAACACAAGTGAATATCGAGTTGAGCAAGTTATCCTGGAGAACTGGCAAGTAACCATGAGACACATTGCAGAAGAAGTGTCCATCAGTGTCAGTAGTGTTGAGAAAATCATCCACAAGCACTTACTGTTCTGCAAGATGTGTGCCAGATGGGTTCCCTGACAGCTGACATCTGTACAGAAATGGGTATGCAAGGAGACATATGAGCAGCTTCTGAATCGGTTTTGTATCGAAGGTGAATATCATTTGTTTGGGTCCCTTAAAGCACACCTGGGAAGAAAGAAATTCCAGACAGATGATGAACCGCAGCAAGTTGTCCTGTGCTGGCTACGACATCAGCTAACTTCTTTCTACAAGAAAGTTATCAGGGACCTACCCTGCCGCTCGGAACAGTGTCTACATACAGATGGAGAGTATTTTGAAAAATTGACATAGTCATTTTCTGTTAAATATGTACAGCATATACAAAGGTCATTCAAAGTTAAACAAGACTTATTTATGCAGACTAAAAGCAATATCAAAAACATGTATGAACTATCTGTATGATCCTTTAAAGAAAAAAATTAAACACTAAATGAAAAGCAAATAAAATTTTAATGTTCATCAACTAAATAAAACAGTTCTACAGAATTTTAGTTAGGTGCCTCCAAAAAAACAGTGGCACACCAATGCAGTAAATTTGAAAATGTACTCTGAAATCAATGCCAGAAATCTGAAGGAACCAGATTATTGATGGCCAGATTTTTGAATATCAATCTGTATCTTTATTTTTATCTGAATATAATATCTTCAAAATATCTTTGTTCACAGATGAAAATAAAATATTTTGTTTTGACTATTTGACTAAGATCTCCTCTATTTCCTATTCAGAAACTATATTAGTGTAATAAGTCCTATTAAAAACAAGGTCAGACAAGGATACAAACAGAAATTCTGTAATATGCCTTCATGTTTATTTCCATAATGTAAAGTTTAAAATTAAATTTAGGCATAATACTTTTTAAAATTCTTGATAATAGCATTTTAAATTACTAATGATTTATACATTTTTCAGAATCCACAAATTCTCGTGTTCTCTACTTCAGCATCTTTTCTATGTGCTGCTTGCTGGGCTTGGCAACGTGGCAAGTGTTATACCTCCGTCGTTTCTTTAAAGCTAAGAAACTCATAGAATGAAGTGTGAGAGAATGCAATGACTTCCAGAGTTAAGAGTCCAAGCATTTGAAATTGCGCATTGACATTTTCATTAACTGTGTGAAAATGTATTGTATGGTGAAGGAAAGGAAACGTGGATTTTTTAAGTTATAAAAAAAAATACTGAATATAAAATAATGTAATTATAATAAATTGGATAAAAACATTTCCTCTTTTTTACAAATTTGTTAAGTAAATTATACTGTGTTTTTTCAATGTTAAAAGTTTGTTCACTGGTAGTTTGTTTCTTACGTGGCTTACTTATTAATGTTTTTATCATTCAAAATAGATGTAATGGTCTCTTACCAAAAACTTAGAGGAGACTGAATTATAGGTTTCGTACTGTGCATGAAGGAAAATGTATATTGGCATAAAACCGAAATAAATTCAATTACAGAATGTGGTTAAAAATTTTTTGAATTATTTTAAAAAATGCTCAAAACTTATAGACATTTGTATTTCATGAGAAATTCTAAACTTCATCCACAAATTATGTTCAGAATCTATATAGTTTTATAGATGAGTTATATTTTTAAAATTAATTCTATAGCTTAATCTATAAAAATAAATTCAGTATCTTAAAAAAAATTTCGGATTATGTTGTTGCTTAGAACATTCTAATGTATTTCCTTTGTAACTAATATGTAATTGAATAACAATAGCATGTGCTTTAACATTCATTTAGCTGGAATCATTTAAATAAATGTTTACGTTAAAAATTACTTCTGTACTTTTGTGCTTAAACCCCGATAACAATTGCTAGAACCAAAAAAAAAACCTTAATTTGCTACACCTAATGCCTTTGGGAGCAGCTAAGATTTCCAGGTTTTTCCAGAAAAAAGATTTTCCACTACAAATCAAACGTTTTATTATATAGGACATTAACTTACGTGCTATTTACTCCTGATACATCTCTTGAAATTTATCTGCTTTTAACACTATTTCAATTTTGCAAATTGGCAAAATTGCTTACCACTGAAAGGGAATTGTGTAAAAGTTTTAGTTCCTCTTTGTTCAGCTCCGAATGGCTGAAGTTTGGAGAAAGTTTCGTTACAGTAAAATTGATATTTCATTGAAAATATTTAGAAAAATAAATCGTACAATTATGTTTTTTGAGTTTTGAATTAGAATAATTAAAAAATTTTTTTAAAAATCATTTTGTTTTAGTCGGGATTGTAGAAGGCGTTATGAGACTCGAATTTGAAATGTAAGGCGCGTTTGTTTGTTCGTTCCGAACGCTCGTTTGTCACGTGAGCTGCGATTTTACTAAGAACGAAAATTTGAGTATGGAGAGGTTAAGGTTATATGTCACGCGATAAAACGCACGTTTGTTCCGCCCCTTCGCCATGTTTGTGGTCTAGCTTCTGCTTGCTTGGCTTGCACGTGGTTTATTATCTGACAGGTTGGCAGCGCTTGTTTTTCTATTTAAGCTAGGCCACGTCAGGCGTTGATCAACGACGACCCATAAATACTCGAGGTTCGGGGATGTTGCTAATACTGTTATCGTGAACTAGCAGATGTGCCCGGCATTGCTCGGGAAAAAAGTAACGATAGCAAAGATTAAGGTTAGTAGATTATAGCCGATCTTACCCGTTTTCACGGAGTGTAACAATTAGGTTTCGATACTAAGTATAAAATTTTTAGCTATCTGCTTACCACTGTGAGAGGCCGGACTTGAAAAGAAAATTTTATTCAAAAATTTTGTTCGAAAAAAATAAGATCGCTACGGATATGATTATATCCTTTCCCACAAATGGTCACTCAAATAGGGAATGGATACTTCCCTATTTGAGTGACACATCGAATGTGTCGCTAGGAATCGAACGCGAAAAATCGCCATTGGACTTGAACGATTTTACCAAAAAAGGACAAGAATTGCGAGGGAGAGGACCCCCAAATAAAGGAGAAGGTTCGATGACGCGACAGGGAGTTCGCCCGACAGAAGAGTTGGCGCCTCGAAGGTTGGTCGTGTGTGTACACTCGGATACATTTTACCGCCGATGCTCCTCCAATAGCCAGTGATCAGAAGCTTAACCGCCGATGAGTCCAAGTACCCACCAAGAACATGTCTTCACCGGAAAAAGGACCCAATTCAAGAAAGCGATCTTCAAGTAAATACCACGCGCGAACAATTGTAAACTCTCTCTCTAAAAGCATAAGTGTAACTAGTTTAGGCCTATATAATCAATAAACGGATATTAATTTCTATAATGGAATTGTAAAGCGCACTTCTTTAGCTTAATTGGTCTCCATCCCGAGTCCAAGAGTGCACATACGCGACTGCTCGCGCGTAAATTCGAACGTAACGGTCTCTGTGTCTACCCAGAAGACACAGTGGTGTCAGTCCTGATAAATTTGCCATTGCCGTCTTCGCCGACGCAATGTCGACCCTTCGGTCCTGTGGTGCCGAAGTATAGAGGGGACCCTTCGGCATTGACATTTGTAGTCTCGGGAAAAAAGTGGAAAGACAAATTCTTATGACAAACGGATACATAAATCGTAAATTTAAGGAAAATAAATTCTAGAGCTTTTCCTGTACCACGTGCATCTCTCTCATTCATTAAATTTAGTTGTAAATGATACTACAAAAATCAGAAATTCAAGGAGAAAGAATGGCCGTTTTCCCCTAGCTCAGTCTGTTTATCCTGTGTGTCGAGAATTAATTTTCGTTCGGCCGTATTATAAAGGTTTTTCGGTATTTTTACTATTAACTTTATCCAGTTTGATGTTGCATTAATAGGCGAAACCCGCGGCGACCGAGGAATCCTAAGAATTTGATTTATTTCATGCCATGGTCGAAAATGGACGAAAAAGATATTTATTCCAACGAATTTCGGAGATGGTCAAGCCTCGAGACCTAGAATTTAAAAAGATCGTCTTTTACCTCTCCACGGTCGACATTCTGCACCATGTAAATGCACAAGATAATTTATTTATCAAATTTAAAAAAGAAAAATAATTATAAATTAATTAATTAAAAAAAATTTTAAAAATTTATTTTTTTTAAAAATTCTAATTTTTACGAAATTCGAACATTGTTGACGCGTTTTTTAACGTTTGTTCGAAATACGTCACACATGACGAATCGCAGTTCGATTGTGTTTCTCGTTGCTGTCGGACGTGCTTTTCTTTCGCTCTTGGATTGCGTGCTGTTTTCTGCGGTTTCGTGCCTTTTACAGAGAAGATTGAAGATTTTTTAGGTAAGTCTTAGTCCTTATTGATCCTAGACGTAAGAATTTATTTAATATTACTTGGAGAATCGGTCCCAGAAGACATCTCGGCACATCGTTCGATGGTCGACCGTTTGCGCTTCGGATTCGAATCTTTTAGATTTAAAAAGGCGGCTGCGGTGAGCAGTTTGCTTTTACTCGGAAGAATTTAAGCATTAATTTAAGCTTTTGTTTTCACTGGACTAATTGCAAATTTTCTTTTTTACAGGATGAAGACGTTGGTGCGTTGTTGGAGGCGGTTCCGGCGGAGGCAGGCGGTGGCGCCGGTGGGAGAGGGTTCCTCGGACGACGCGGAACCAGTCTGTCGTTCCGTGCCGTTGGAGGAGCGGGGGCTCGACGGAGTGACAGGCAGCGAGTGAAGAAGGCCTTGGCCAAGTGCGCGTGGCGTGGCATCCTCCCGGAGTAGGGATGATGCGACGCTACACCCTGGGTCCAGTGCGCTTGGCCGAGGTCTTCGGGGATCATCCGGCCACAGACATTTCTGTGGAGGATGTTGAAAGTGTCAGCTCGGACGAGCTGTCACTTTCTGTTTGGTCGCGTTCTGCCCGTTCGTCCGCGACGGCGACGCCACCGCCTTGCCGAAATCGGAACGGGGAGGAGTCGTAGGAGAGAGCCCCCGAAGTCGAGGGACCCCTGGCCTAGGCGATGAACTTCTTCGATTTCCTCTTCTTCACACGGATGCGACTTTCTTACCGGATTCGACACTTTTCACCCGGACATGACACTTTTTAACGGACGTGACTTCTCTTACCCGGACGTGACCCACGGACTTGACACGTTTCTTCACCGGACGCGACATTCGGCCGACCTTTCTTCCCAAACAGCTGTTATGAGGATTGAGCTTCCGGTTAGGGTTCGTTAGGTCAGGTCCTTCGCTCTTCTCATAACACTGTTCGGGAAGAAAGGCTGTCTGATTAAGGTAATAATCTTGACCTTAGGTAATAAATGAATAAACTTCTCGTTTTCTCACTGCCTTTGTGTTTTGTAGGAACATTTGGGAGGGAGAAGTATCTCCCTCTCCATCTTTACCACGAAGAGGACCAAGAAGTGGTCATTTATCGTACAAGTGAATATTTTCCGATGGTAAGAACTCTTTCGTTTCATTTCTTAACACATCTTATTTTCGTATGGTAATTTAGTGTTTTCTGTTTATAGGCATGCCGAAGATGTTCTTCGATCACACACATACACACACACGCACGGACATAACACCACCGTACACGAAGATATACACCGTTTAACCTTTACTCGAATTCTCGCACTCACGCACTTACACGTCAAGCGCCACGTTCTGTGTAATTCGACACAATGAAACAACCCGAACACACGCTTCCCACAAATCCAACCCCTGGGTCCTCGTCCCGGGAAGTGGAAACGCCAATTTTAAAGATTAAAACACTTTAAATTGGTGGCCGAAGGGGCTCTGGTAATCACACATCTTGCATCGATTAATGGAATTTCAGACATTAGCATCAATAATCGTTCGGTGATGAATTGGGAAGGAGAAGAATCCTGTACCAAGTATTAAACATTGTTTTTCCCACTATGTTTAGTTTTTGTGGCTTTTTTTAAATCGTGGTCTCAAACTTTTTCAGGCAAATTGCAAGGAATAATTTGTTGTATATGAATTTTTTTTCGAAATACGAAAATAAATTTTTACTTCATATTTGTTTGTGGTTATTTTAATACTTAAACAACAACATTAATTTTAATGGGAAGTTTGAAAACTTTTTTCCAGGATTGCATATATAAAAGCATTTTAACTTGAATTTAACAAAAAGTTTACAAGTTTAGCATGCATAAATCATTTGAAAAACGCGGAGAAATGAGAACGTGTACAGCGAAGTTCACCAGGATTGTGCACTAAGTGATAGCTGCGAGGAAGAGGTAGTCAACCTTCTACCGTGTTAATCCTCTGAACACACCTGAAATTTCCCTAAAATTAACAGAGTTTTCCCTTAATAGCGTTGCTGCACATATCAAAAAAAGTATCAGTATTTCGACAATCCGGAGAAAAACAGATTTTCACGTTAGGACGTAGGCGCTAGGGCACAGCTGTGGTTTTCTGTGTTAGCACTGTTTGTTAGGAGTGGTGTTTTAGGACTAACACAGTTTGAGTTAACTATAGTTATCTCGTCGTATATATCGTTCATATTAATATTATATTGTAAATTCAAGGCTTTTATTTTGAATTTTTACATTTTTATTTATTCACACTGTCTTTTTGATTTTATTGTCAAATATCATGTTATTTGTTTTTAAAATAATGTTTTTTGAGTTGGCTATTTTTGACTACTTTTTAAAAATTTTTTCGCTGGAAAGCTAAAAAATGTCAGGCAACGTTGAAAGCTTCTTGAAAGCAAGTCCTATTCTGTATAATGTTACAAGTAATGGTACTTGTAAATTACTTGTATACAGAATCGTCCTTACATAACAGTGATTGATGTAAGCTAACTGACAGCCGAGCGGTCAAGGTGACAGCCTAACGCTCTAGGGGATTCGGGTTTGAATCCGGGCGGGTCGAAAAATCCCCAGGATATCTTGGGCCCCGCCTCTCATTATGGGTTCGGCCGCTTCATTGTGGGCTTGGCCGAACCCATAATGGGCTTGCTAAAAGAGACTCACCTAGTACCCACAGGGCCGAAGCACTTTTTTAAAATAGGTATAAGCTTGAAGCTTTGTCGATCTATCACATGTCCTTTGTCCACACTACATTTACATGTATTTTATTTTCAATAAATATGTTTTTACAAATAACTTTAATAGTATTGTTTAAGCATATTTTTTTGGGATTTTCACGAGTCTTCGCGTGTTCCGTGATTTCGTTCGAAAATGCATGGCAGTTCGTGCAATGAGGGATAGTTGGCAACTGTGTGCAGAGCGAAAGAATCTAAAAAATGTATATATGGAATTTATATTAATTATATAAATTGTGA